ATTTAATTTTTTAAGGTTATTACTGCTACATGAAACCCTAAAAGGCAGTCGGAACATTCAGGGCTTCGTCCTGATACGAGCAGTCTATAATAAATTATGATAAATTATGAGCAGTCTTGTTTTTATGAATTACTTCCAGCTTGCAACTAAGCCCCCCCATTCGCCCCTGATTTCAATTGTTCCTTAACCTGTTATAAACTAGTTTCTTAAATTGAAACTAGCACTCTCTCTTCTCGCACCTCGGAAACTAGCAGCCCCAAAAATAAACAAGACTACTCGTATCAGGGCGAAGCCCTGAATGTTCCGATTACCTTTTAAGGTTTTATGGAGCAGTAATAACATTAAAAAATTAAATGTAAGAAAAAAAACGAATGAAAATTTTCTTTTCTAAAACTTGAAATTTTTTATGAAAATCATACCCCACACGCCATATAAAGTAGAAAAGGATAGATTTCGCTCCTTGTAACAAATCAATTATGGCAAATATGCTTCTTTCAGCCAATTTGGAACGATTTTTAAGACGGATTAACTATATACATTGAAATATATCGCGCATTAATTGTCCTAAATTGCCCCCATAACTTTACGAAAAATGATCACAGGTAAAATATCTTTTCAAATTTGAGATCAGGACAACAATACCTTTTGAATGATATTAAAATTTCCGTCAAAACAGCTAGTTAAAAAGTCGAAATTTGTCTGAAGAAAAAAAAAACCACCCCGAGCACAAATATTCCCTTATTTTGTTACAAAAGTCGGAACAATAAACTATAAAAAGTTATCAAATATCAAATGAAAATTAATTAATTAGAAAAACGAAAGATGAATAAAAAATATAAAAATTTTTTTATATCATTCAAAAGGTATTGTTGTCCTGAGCTTAAATATGGAACGATATGTCACCTGTGATTGTTTTTCGTAAAGTTATGGGGGTTTAAAGGTTGCCATTTTGGTCAATTTGGGACAATTAACGCACGATATGTTTCACTCTATTTACGCGTAAGCGGAGATTTAATCAGTCTTAGAAATAGTAAATCATTCTAAATTGGTTAAAGGAAGTTTAGTTGACATAATTGATTTGTTACCAGAAATTTATCATTTTGTACCTTATATATCGTGTGGGGAATGATTTTCACAAAAAAAACTCAATTTTTTTTTAAATTTCATTTTACGTAGTTTTTATTACATTTAATTTCTTCATGATGTTATTGCTCCATAGACATTAAATGCAGTCGGAACCTTCAGGGTTTTGCCCTGATACGAGCATTCTTGTTAATTCAGTGGCTGAGTCAAGAAACACTGCTGAAAACAATTCTGTGCTCGTTAAAAAAAAACGACTACTAATTGGAAATTCAAACTGACTTCATATTTGTTTGCCCCTTTTTACTTTTTTTTTCGCCTATGGTTTCGATTTTATCCAAAAAGCTCATATATTGTCCTGCACACAATGAGTCATACTATACAAAAATAAGTTAACTTATTTCAGCCAATTACGATGAGTAAAGTAACAAACGATTCCTGAAAACGAGCCCAGTTACAAACGCACATTTGAGAAAAATATATAATTGTTTAGATTCATTTGAACATTGAGAGCCCAAACACGACTAAAAAACGTGCCAATGTCCTATACACGGTTATTCGCGTCATTGGTGCCTCGGAATACTTTTCGAATTTTTTAAACTGTTTCAAAATGGTTTGGACAATTTTCAGGAAAAATCGCCGTAATATTTTGTTTATCAAATGATTTTCAAGATTAACAGCCGTAATTCTTTCCAAATTTCATTTTAATTTAGAATTGTTCGAATTAGTTCAAACTTTTTTGTCTGATTTTAAAACTGCTATAATTTGTGAGTTTTAAAATCAGACAAAAAAGTTACAAGTTTCCGAAATTTAGATTCGATAATAAAGAAGGAATTAGGAATTTGGGGAATGTGGGCTGCATATGAGAAAAAAAACCCAACTTGGTAACAATTCACGCATCGAATGACTTTTTGTTCAGTCAAATTTCACCGATCGAAATAATAGTTTTCATTAAAAATTTTTATACGCCATTGAAAATATCGACTTCTTGAGTTCAAATTTAAAAAAAGGTTTTTCCTCCGACTTTTTGTAAAATTTTGGGGGTTTGAAAATTGTCAAATTGGCCATGTTCTGGACTAAATTATGCTCGCTTTGAAAAATTTGCTCATATTGATTAGAGCGTAATAATTTATTTAACCGGGCCGAAGTCCGCGACTCATGTTGCGACCAAACTGCTTCGCCGAAATGGACTTTCTGCTACCAAAATTTCATCATCCTACAAGAAGCTTGAGTCGCACAAAGTCGCAACATAACAAATTTGGGTCACGCAAAGTCGCAACATAGCTAATTTGGGTTGCGCAAAGTCGCAACATAGCTCATTTGGGACGCTCAAAGTCGCAACATAGCCAATTTGAGTTGCAAAAACTTGCGACATAGCTAATTTGGGTCGCTTAAAGTCACAACATAGCTAATTTGGGTCGCGCAAAGTTGCAAAATGGGTCGCACAGTGTCGCAACATGGATAATTTGGGTCGCGCAAAGCCGCAACATGGATCGCGCAAAGTCCCAACATTGGTCGCACAAAGTCGCAACATGCGTAGCGCAAAGTATCAACATGCGTCTCGCAAAGTCGCAAAATGGTTTGCACAACGCTTTAGTAATGGAATTGTCGGAGGAATTTTTTTGCTTGCATAAGCGATATACAGATGCAGATTGCAAAATCATCCTGTATATATGTAATTTTTTTGTGCAGTTAGCTATATCAACATAATTGCTGATCAAATACAGGACCACCACCAGAAGGCCTACTTATAGTCCCAAAATAAAAGCCACCTTTTTAGGTCAACAAGATTTATTGCCACGAAAATTGAACTGAAAGCTAGAAACCATTCAAATCAAACATATATCAGAAAAGTTAAATGAATATTAACAAAAAAAGATGATACGTTTTTTTGGGTCGCGTTAAAGTTGCGACATATCTGTTTTGAGTCGCGCAAAATTGCGCAAACGTTTTGGTCGCACAAAGTTGCACAGACCCATTTTGAGTCGAAATGGTCGCAGCATACCGTTTTTGGGTCACGCAAATTCGCAACATATTTTGTTTGGGTCGCGCAAAGTCGCATAAAATTTTTATCGGTCGAGCAAAGTCGCAACATCCCATTTCGAGTCGCAATGGTTGCAACCTACCAATTTTGAGTCACAATGTTCACAGCAGAAGTCCCTAACCTCGACCCGGGTATCAATTTTGCCCAGAAAAAGGCGCGGCAGCTTTTTTAGCGTTGTGGTTTAGCAGTTTCATTACCCGAGTGACCACTATGCATGGCAGTTTGGAAAGTTTTTGAACAAGTATGGGTCGAAAATAATAAATTATCAATTCAAAGTAGAGTATCTTCAAGTAAGATTTGAAATTGCTTTGCAAATACATGCAAATCCTTGAACAGTAAATGGAGTCGAAATTCAGAAAAAATACACCCTTTGGTTTCTCACAGAAAAACTAGTTTCAAATAAGCAAAGGCGCTTAATTGGAAAAATCACTCAAGGAGAAATTTTGTCCATTGGAGAAAAGTTCCGAAAAAAAAAACAAAAAACTCGTTTTTGTGTGGTATTATTGATATTCATGATTTATGGCTTAATTTAAATCAGTTTTGTCGCCAACTTTGAATTCAAGTTTCGGATAACTGGACACCATGTTGACAGTTTTTGCTTTGCTGGTCACGTATTTGTTTTTTTGTTTAATTGATCTAGTCTGCTTCAAATGGCTGATTTATCTTCATCAAATGGCTGATTCATCTGTTTTTGTTCCGAACATTGAAAATGGAGAGGACCTATGCAAAAAAGTGTGTTTTAGTTTTCCTTCCTTTTGTTTGTTTTCCACGCAAAATCAGGTGCCACAAACAGTAGCAGATTTAGGGAAAAGAACAAGCCTTCACCCCCCCCCCCCCCTCCAGGGATTCGACCCCCTGCCGTCCCAAAGGGTCCCCCTTTGTACTATTTTGAGAAATCCATTACTGGCTGACTGACCATAAAGATTTTCTAAAGGCGCCCTTGGCGCCAATCGATACCAATTTTGAGTGGGGAGCGCGTGCCGAAAAAACGCGTTTTTTTTTGTCAAAACTTTCAAAAATGTGCCTACGGCGCATTAAACTTGGCTAAATTTGGGTCTTGTAGTGGTTTGGGAGAGCTTACGAAATCAATGTTGTGATAAATTCATGTTTTTTTCGGAGAAAATTCTTGTCGTTAATGCCTAATTCACTAATTTTCTCGTATAGCTCTATCCTTACGCGACGTACAAGAAAAGACATGAACTTGAAAAAATCTGAGATTGTGGTCGGAACCTTCTGTGCTACTTGCACAGCAACCGGCTATCCTTGATTTTTCTAGCACTCTGTTTTTTTGTACTTAATTTTACAAATATTAAAGTCGACTTCAATTATTTCCCACATTATTCACATGCAGAGAAAATATTTTTGTTATTTTTTGACATGCTTTTGTTAGAGCGAACCAGTAACAGAAATTCGGTTGTTTTTGATAAAATGCCTGAATGAGCCTCATTTTCAGAAAAAAACTTTCTGAACGGGCCCAAGTTTTTAGCAAAGGAACGAGCTAAATGAGTACAATTTTTAGCAAACAGATCTGAACGAGCCCAACTATTAGCAAATTGAGCTGATGCAGTGACTTAATTTTAGTTTAAGCAGACTAAAACAAAGAGTAACTCTAAGGTTGGTAGAATTGAGGTAGCACAAAGTTCTTGGGTAAATATTTGCTTCCTTACTGGGCGCTATTGGATCCAGTTTTTCCGTCATAGCTAAAGGACCGATCATAGTAGAAAATGGGCTCATTCGGCCTTTTTTGATGGAAAATTTATGCAAAAATTTCTACCTCTGGGAAGCAAGGAAACAGTTTACGATGTGATGAGAATTAAAGCAGGAAAGACTCTAGGTTGAATTAATCTCTTGTTATTTTGCATTTTGTCCTGTTTAGGTGATTGCTGTGATTACCAGGTACGTCAGTACAACAAAGAAGGCAGACGAAAGGCGGGAATATCACCATTGAGCTACTTCTGGAAAGTTACAGACTTCTTCTCAAACAGAAGACTCAACTGGATCTATGTAATATTCTAATATTCACTAATCTATTCCCTTGACATCATTTTCATTGTTATGTTGCAACTAGTGGTTTTACAAGGTACACCAGCGGATTTATAAACTCATTTTTGTGTGGTATTATTGATATTCATGGTTTATGGCTTAATTTAAATCAGTTTTGTCGCCAACTTTGAATTAAAGCTTCGGGTTACTGGAGACCATGTTCACATTTTTGTTTTACTGGCCACGTAATTGTTTTTTTGTTTAATTGATCTAGTCTGCCAGTTTTCAAATGGCTGATTCATCTGTTTTTGTTCCGAACATTGAAAATGGAGAGGAACTATGTAAAAAAGATGTGTTTTAGTTTTCCTTTCTTTTTGTTTGTTTTCCACGCAAAATCAGGTACCACAAACAGTAGCAAATTTAGGGAGGGGACGCTTCCCCCCCCCTTTTTTTTTCAGGGATTCGACCACCCGCCGACCCAAAGGGATATCCAAATATACATTTTTGAGATATTTTGAGATATCCATTTTTGACTGACTGACCCTTAAATTTTTCTAAAGGCGCCTTTGACTCAAATAAATACTAGGGGGAGCGCGCGTAGAAAACGCGCGATTTTGAAGGGAGAGCGCGCCTCGAAAAAAAAGCCATTTTTTGGTCAAGGTACATGGAAAAAAATTTGTCAATACATATAACTAAAAAAACGCAGCAAAAATGCACAAAAATTCGAAAAGTCAAAATTTTAATAAAATAGAAGAGTTCCCGGGTCGAAGTCCTACCGTTAATTATCTCCTTTTATGTAGTATCCCAGTGATAGCTCGTTTCCAGCGCTGATTCATGTATAAAGCAGAGTCTGTTGCATAGATAAACCTGAGACTTTTCAGGGCTATTTCAGTAATGAATCCGTACAAAAGCATATCGTTAAAACCTAAGAAATTTTAACACATTCTAGTATCTTTCCTATGAAAGTTTTAGTTGATAAGCCCTTTAATTTTAATCTCTAAAAGGATTGATAGCGTAGAGGTAGCATATATGTCTAAAATTCGAGGGTTAGGGGAGCGAACACCTGTTGGAGAACTAATTTTGCTCATTTTGATAGGTTTTTTATTGCTGTTTCATCGCTGAAACTAAGCCAAATCAGCGATAATTTATCGATTAAATTTGCTATTGTGGCAATGATAATTCATCGATGGAGATCGCTGTTTTTTTTCCACTTTTTTATCGCTTATTTTCAATGTGAGCTCAACCCTGGTTGTTTCTAACACATTCTCCAATTTCGCGATGCCGCTAATTTTAAAAAAAAAAACGATCGTTACTGGCAACAGCTCGTTTCTTTTTGTTGCAGGCGAAATATATCCCAGCTCAATGCACGAATGTAATCCTGCAAGTTGGTTTCGGCCCTGGAAGTCTCATCATACAGGGACACATTGCAATGTCCGCGTCTTTCATGTTTCCTTTTGACATGGGAAGATCACCCTATTACTTCCAACGAAACAACATCGAATCGCAGATCACTTTTGAGTGGTTCAAATTAGTGGTGATAAGCATGGACCGATCGTGGGTGACGCAATGGAACCAATCAGAAGCGGGGATGGCCCGCATCCCAGTTAACATACGAGATCACCCGGAACTTCTGCGAATCATCCGATCACGTCATGACGTGACCAACGAACACACAAGAGGCTTGGAAAAGTGAAATTCAGTATTTGCATATTTTTCAGATTTATTTTTCATATTTTCAGTCTGATGTGCCACATGCGAACAAAAATTTTGAATGTTTATGTTTTGTTCTGCGTCTGTCTTTGCATAGGAGTAGAACAAAACTATTCCGTTGGGTGAGTAATCTTTACTGACGAGCTTCTATATTTTCAAGAAAGGTTGTAAGCTATTGAGTAAGGCTTCAATTATAACCATTTAGATAGCAAATGAGAATAGAACAAAGAATTGAAAAAAATGTGTTAATTGCGATAAAAACAAGCGTTATGATTTGATATTTGAGTAAATCTGCACTCACAAAAATATTTTTATGAGCAATTTTCACTTGTTCCAATTTTAAGAAAAACATGACATGAGTTTTATTTTTGAAAAGTATCAGCGCCAGCCTGCTTCCAAATGACAAAGACCTGTTCCTGTAGTTTTCTGGTGTTTTGGGGCATCTTGAAATTTAATTTTAATGAAAGGCAAACCAACAGAAATCATATGAAATCGTTTTCTCCCATTCACTCCTTAGTTTTGCAAATGTGTAGAATACAGTGTCTCACAAAACAGTAATCATGTTTCGAAACTTTTCTTGAAACTCTCAATTAGTCTCAGCCATCAAACTCTCGGTCATTTTTGGTGCAATAATTACATTTTTCTTTCATTTTTTCCGATTTTAGTTGATGTTTCATTTGCTTTGATTCGATAAGTTTTCAATTGTTCAATTTAATTTGTAACTTGTGTTTTCATATTGGGTATCAAAATTTTGTCAGGCTTATTTAGCAGGCATTTACCAATGCATCGCATATCAATTCAACTTCTGAACAATTATACCATTTTTTTCACAAAACTTTCAATTTTGTTCAACAATTACAGTTTTCTTTCGTTTTTCCGATTTTAGTTGATGTTTCAATTGCTCTGACTCGCTAAATTTTAAATTACTCAATATGTTTCGTTTATTGTGTCTTCATACTAGGTATCAACCTTTTTGCATGCTTAGTTAGCAGGCATTTACCAATGTATTGCAAATCAATTCAACTTCTGAACAGTAATGCCACTTTTTTCACGATACTTTCAGTTTGGTGCAACAATTACATTTTTCTTTCACTTTTTCCGATTTTAGTTGCTGTTTCATTTGCTCTGACTCGCTAGCTAAGTTTTAATTTTTTCAATATGTTTAGTTTTTTGTGTCTTCATACCAGGTATCAACCTTACTGCATGCTTAGTTAGCAGGCATTTATATCAATTCAACTTCTGAACATTTATACCCCTTTTTCCACAAAACTTTCAATTTTGTCCAAAGATTACAGTTTTTTTTTCACTTTTTCCGACTTTAGTTGATGTTTCGTCTACTCTGACTCGCTAAATTTCAAATTTTTCAATGCATTTTGTCTATTGTGTCTTCATATCGGGTATGTAATTTATTGCATGCTTAGTTAGCAGGCATTTACCAATGTATTGCAAATCAATTCAACTTCTGAACAGTAATGCCACTTTTTTCACGATACTTTCAGTTTTGTGCAACAATTACAGTTTTCTTTCATTTTTTCCGATTTTAGTTGCTGTTTCATTTGCTCTGACTCGCTAGCTAAGTTTTAATTTTTTCAATTTGTTTCGTTTTTTGTGTCTTCATACCAGGTATCAACCTTACTGCATGCTTAGTTAGCAGGCATTTATATCATTTCAACTTCGGAACATTTATACCCCTTTTTCCACAAAACTTTCAATTTTGTCCAAAGATTACAGTTTTTTTTTTTCACTTTTTCCGACTTTAATTGAGGTTTCATTTGCTCTTACTCGCTAAGTTTTAAGTTGATCAATGTATTTTGTATATCGAGTCTTCATATTGGGTATCAAATTTTTTGCATGCTTTGTTAAAGGGGCATTTACCATTTTATTGCATTTAATTCAACTTCTGAACGGTAATACCATTTTTTTCACAAAACTTTCATTTTTGATCCACAATTACAGTTTTCATTCATTTTTTCCGATTTTAGTTGATGTTTCATTTGCTTTGATTCGCTAAGTTTTAAATTGTTCAATTAAATTTCGTAAATTGTGTTTTAAAATTGGGTAAAAATTTTTTTCAGGCTTACTTAGGGGGAATTTACCAATGCATTGCATATCAATTCAATTTCTGAACAATTATACTATTTTTTCACAAAATTTTCAATTTTGTTCAACAATTAATTTTTTTTTTCGTTTTTACGATTTTAATTGATGTTTCAATTGCTCTGACTTGTTACTCGGTAAATTTCAAATTATTCTTTTTGTTTCGTATTTTGTGTCTTCATATTGGGTATCAAACTTTTTGCATGCTGAATTAGCAGGCGTTTACCAATGCATCGCATTCCATTCAACTTCTGAACAGTAATGCCACTTTTTTCACGATACTTTCAGTTTTGTGCAACATTTACAGTTTTTTTTTCACTTTTTCCGGATTTAGTTGAAGTTTTGACTGCTCTGACATGCTAAATTTTTAATTGTTCAAGGCATTTTGTCTATTGTGTCTTCATATTGGGTATCAAATTTATTGCATGCTTAGTTAGCAGGCGTTTACCAATGCGTCGCATTCCATTCAACTTCTGAACAGTAATGCTGCTTTTTTCACGATACTTTCAGTTTTGTGCAACAATTACAGTTTTCTTTCACTTTTTCCGATTTTAGTTGAAGTTTCGTCTGCTCTGACTCGCTAAATTTTAAATTGTTCAATGCATTTCGTCTATTGTGTCTTCATATTGGGTATGTAATTTATAGCATGCTTAGTTATCAGGCGTTTGCCAATGCATCGCATATCAATCCATTTCTTAATAATTATACCATTTTTCATTTTTTTTGTAGTGAACAAACTTGAAACATTTGTAAAAAATGGGGTTCAACGTAAGGAAGTTGAAATTATGTGCGATGTATTGGTAAATGTTTGTTAATTAAAATGCAAAAAAAACACACTGTGTTTAATTCATTCAGTCCGACCTCAAAATTATGGAAAAATATCAGTGTTTGCATCTTAAGTCCAAAAATTCATTTATTGTTCCCGTAGACTTTTTTCACGTGACTTGTTTATAAAAAAACTGTCAAAAATAATTGTCGAACAACCCGCCCAGCTTCCATGAGTTTAGGAGTCTTGGTAACAGTTTCCTTAAGATGCTTAGGCTGTTTATTCCCATATTTGACCACATTCGAGCGCAATAGAAGATTCAGTGTTTTCGGGTCTCTCCGAGACAGGATCAATATCTCCGCTGTTCTTTCTTTTAGAAGTTATGGGTGTCCAATTATTATCAAGCCATCTTTTCTCTGGAAGTCCATCGTAGGTTTCCTCTCTGTTTACTCAACTTAGCTAACGTTTTTCAAAATATCATCAAACACCAACCATTGTCTTGCTGAGACTGTCAAAATTTAGCATTTCGAATCAGTTTTACGGAAAGCAATGGCAATTATACAAGGTTCATAGGAACTTGTATGATGAAGCTTCAAAACAAAATTCAGAGGACAAAAAAGAAATTCGAGAAACAATTTTTTTTTTTTGCTCCGACCAATGAAAATGGGCAGGAACTTTGTATTCGGGTATGTTTAAGATTTTTTTTGCTTTTCATTTTCCACGCAAAATCAGGTATTACAAATAATAATCGGACATATGTCAAATTCAATTCCTTTCAGTAGTGATTAGAATTTCTTCTAGTGTTGAGAAAAACCTGTTCGAATTTTTTTTACTTTTTGTCTTATCTCGAGAGAATAAAGCGAGCCATTAGTTCTTTTTACGTGATACAAAAGCTTCTTGCAATAGCTGAAATTATACCGTAGAAACTTAATTTACTTGAGTAAAGTTAGTTTACTTTGAGTAAGTTAGCGCTTTTTTGGAACCAAAATTTTTGAAAGTTCAAAAAATGCAAAAAAAAACTTGAAAAAATTGCTTTTTTACAAAAATCGAGTCTATCTAATTCAGTTATTTAATCAAATCCTTTAATTACAACTTGCAGACGGAAAACGACAGTAATTAAGAAAAAAACTTTGTTGTATTTGTAACCTAAATGTCATAACCTTGTAACTAAATGTAACCTAAATGTAACCTTTTATGACACGTAAGGCGTAGCAACTGCACTAAACATGGGATAACTTTGAAAAAAATGTAAATTTCATGAATAACTCCTCAAAAAAATCCATTATATTCGATTATGGATTAGGAAGAATAGGATATGTATTACACAAAGAGAAGTTGCACGAACCTGTCCGGCCGAAAATAAAGTTGACAAGTGTACCCCATCAAAAATTACTCTACGAGAAAGCCACCCCGGACTTAAACTCATCTGTTCCGACCAGTGACTCTACATTAAACACACCTGCACATTTTAGCTATTTCAGTTTTAGTTACGATCCTTTTTTAATTGTTTTTGCAAGCGCTTTCTAACTAATTCGGTTATTTTTTAAAAGTTCCTCACAATAGAGTTGCTCGTGGTAAAAATTTGTCGGGGTCGGGTTGCTTTATGTGTCTCTTTGAGAAGAGTCGCCACTTGTGTATTTTTTTTCTTTTTCTTTTTTTATTAGTTCTTCTTTTTTTTTCTGGTTTTTGTCGTTTTGTCGCAAACGCATTGTTTTTGAATTGTGTTTTCTTTGAGTTCATGAGGTCTTTCTGAAACTTTGAATTAAAGTTCAAAAAAATTTCATTCACTTTAGTCTGCGTTGAATCTGGTTAGTGTACCGTGAGAGTTTTCTGCGCATGTCGTTGGTATGGTGGTGTTAGTAAGCTGCGTTGTTTATTTGAGCTTAGCTTCAATACTTTCGTCCAACTGGCTTAAGTAAATTTTGAAATGTTTGAAAGCAAGTTAATGTTGTTGTCAGTTACTTTATCAAATTAGAAATTCTTTTAGTCTCAAAAGTTTTAGTGGCGCGTTACGCTGAACTGTGTGAAAAGACTGCATGAAGTGTGTGCGAGACAAACAGCAAACTTGAAAACAAACAAAAAAAAACTAAAAAATTGAAAACTTTCGGTTTAAAATGCTG